GGTTTTAGCACACACAAACTTCTACCATACATCAAGGGGCGAGAACTGAACTACTTTTCTCTTATATCTCTCATGAGCTAAGAAACCTCTCCCAGAAGATCCCAGTCATGTTGCACTGGCCAGGAGAGAATGATATACGTTCACCCTCAGTGGGCTTCTGGCAGGGAGCAAGATGACTCTCAGCCTTGGTATCTGGGATGGGGATCCCCCATCCCTCATTACCCTGAAGGCTCAGACTGAAACACATCCATTCTTTAAAAAAAAATCCAGAAGTAACTAATTGATAAGAGAAAATTCTGTCTGGTTCCTCCCATTCAGCCTGTCTTCTGAGCAGGGGGCATGGTGGCTTGTTCTTATGCATTTACAGTTATGAGGGTGGACAGAGAAAGATAGAAGACAGAGAAGGTGCCTTCCCCCCAAGGCAGACGCTAGATTTGTCTCATGACCAGGATAATAATGGTTACCAGTGTCTCTCCAAGGCCCAAAATGAGGCAGGTTTGCTAACAGCACCTTGAAAGACCCAGGTTTTCTTAGTGCAGAGTCCTCCACTGTGCAGCAGGCAACTCACTTCATGTGCAGCACCCACCTGGCTGACCCTGGGACTTTGGGGTAGGAGCATGAGAAAGCAGGGTGAGCCTGAAGCTCATTTTGCCTGCTGTATTATTACCACAAATCCATTTTCTCTGACCCAGGAGCCCGTGCCTGCTTCATGAAACTGTGGCCAAGCAACTTATTCGTTTTAAGAGAAGGAAAACAAAAACAAAACAAAAAAACCTAACCAGTCTTCAGCACTCCTGGCAAGGCAATCCTTCACGTTTGCTGTCCGCATTCTTTCCAGTGAGTCATGCTATCTGTGACCCAATCCTCAAATCTTTATTATATAAGAAATCCTTTCCTATAGATGGAGACAGACAGGACAGCACTTCAGCCTCCAAGTGAAGACACACATTAACTGAGCGGTGTCACTGGCTCCGGTATCTTCACTGCTGCCTCTCTTTATTCGCTCACTGACTCTCTCTGTAATTATCTTTCTGGAAATGTCAGTTGCTCTCACCCAGAAGGCCAAGGGCAATCAGCCACAAACTGAATGCTCGAAGCTTTTAAAACACACGGGCTGGCTGTCTAAGAGAAGGGGTTTCTCAAAGGAGTCCCTTTCGTGGTGTCAGGACAGCTGACATTGAGTGACTGAGAGGGAAAAGCCCTTCCCTTCACTTTCATCTTCTGCAGCAGAGCTGGAAGAGAAGGTCCTGGAACTGAACTATTAGTGACAGTCCTGGGCTTGAGTCCCTCTTGCTGCACCCTCATGGGAGTGAGCAGCAATAGCCAGGTCCTGGAAAACTTCCTTCCTTCTCTAGATCAAAGGTTTGCTGTTAAGAGCACAAGGGTCATGCATGAGTGCAGGGGTCATGGAGGAGCGCAGGGGTCATGGAGGAGCCCAGGGGTCATGGAGGAGCCCAGGGGTCATGGAGGAGCACAGGGGTCATGGAGGAGCACAGGGGTCATGCATGAGTGCAGAGGTCATGCATGAGTGCAGGGGTCATGCATGAACACAGGGTGCATAGACGAGCACAAGGTACATGGATGGGCACAGGGGTCATGCATGAGCTCTGGGTTATGGATGAGTGCAGGGCTCACAGATGAGCACAGCTCTCAGACCTCTTCAGAGAAGCTCCTTTCTATAGTGGATAGCAGTTAACTCAGACACTCTCAGCTGGTCAAATAGAGAGCAAAGGCGACCATGTGTGCTCTTCCTTAAATGGGTATCTGTAACACAGCATCTCCCCTCAAGACTTAGAGCACATCACACAAGAGGGAGTGGGAAGATTGTGAGGGTCAGCGGTTGGCGAGGACTGGAGAGAGAGTGTCTCCTGGACTTGACGGGACCATTGCTTTCACAGGCTCATAGCCGTTGTGTTTTCCTGTGTAAAACCTGCACAAGCTCAAACCAGTCAACTTCCGAGCATGGTTAGGGAGTAACCCCAACTACCTAAGTTCCTGCCCCTAGCCGAGGAGGCATTGGTAGTTGATGGCTGCCTTAGGAGGGAGAGTCAGTTTGCTTTAGGGGTATGTTCCTGGTAAGTTGACCATGCTCTAGTTGGTGGAATATATATATATATATATATATATATATATATATATATATTAAAGACATGAAGCTGTTGACAGGGTACAATCAAAAAATCATTGTGTGCAGGTATGCAATTCTCAAAGAATAAATAAGACTAGTTCAACAACAAAAGAGGATGGAATCAAGAGAATAGGCAGGGACCTATCATGACAAAAGGAGTGAAGAGGAAGGACATTGCCCAGAATCTGCTGGTGCTCAAGATTTCTCCAAATGGTGACAGTTTAAGACCCAGACAAGAATTTGTCATAGCAAAAGGGTAGAAGCTGAGGAAATTAGAGCAGTGTTTATCCCTTCAAGTTGAACCTGAGGGTTAAACTCAATTTATCACTAAATTCTATTTCCCTGGTGGCAGTTGATTCCTTTAAAGCTAAACAGTCTTTCCCACTTAACCCAGGAGCCCTCATCCTCCTGCTGTCCCGGCGACCCACATTTAGGAAGGCAGCTGCTCATGTGCACCACAGAAGCATAGATTTCAGCTGAAGCCTGGGCTACTTTCCCCCATCCACTGTATCTGCCCCGTCAAGAAGGATCTGGGAGGCTGCAGCCATGTGATGGTCTACCTGCATTTCCATCCTACTGCCATGGCAACTGAGATGGGGTCACTAGCCTGCATGTTATATCTCTCACGATGATCCTGGAGGCAGGGGCTTCTAATTTGAATGAGCCGTTTTTACTGGACTGTGCATGGAATCACTGCAGGTGTTATAATGAAGGTTCTCTTTCTAATGGCATGAAGGACCAAAATTCCTTGGTACAATTAGACTGATTAAATTGAGCTCTGTAACTAATATCCCTGTAGCTCAATAAAGTTACTACCACTTTCCAGAGACCCCGACACAGAGGCAGGGAACACGGGAGCCCCTGAGAGAATCTGGCCCACTGTGGATTTTAAATTAGAAGTTTGATTGCTTGTGACACTGTCCCAAAGAAACTGAATTTTCCATTAGCCCTGGAAAAAAATGACAGATATTTAATTAACCGGCTTAGAGATTAGGCAGAAGGCTTCTTGATGGATAGAGGGACGGATATCTCTGCATGAAAAGCCGGGGAAACTCGCTGGTATACCACATCTTTAATGCTAAAAAGAATTCTCCAAGCCTAAGGGAATGCGAGATATGTGTGCTGCTTCAGCGAAAAGCTTCCTCCCCTGTCAGTCCTGAGTAAAAATATACATCCAAAACGTATTTATAAAGCCCTGGGTGGCCACTGAGGGAGCTCATACAAAGCTTAAAATTTGAAATAAAAAAGCTACTTAGAACGAAATTTGACAAAGCAACCATCAAACCCATTCACCTATTGTCGAAAGGTGATTTGTTGCAAAACAGGGTTGACAGGGGAGACCTCTGCAAACAAGAATGATTTGTGGCCAGTGCTGGCAGGGAGGTGGTGAGCAGGATCCAGTATCCAGGATGTGACTAGCCAAGGTTTGCAGCATCCTGCTGAGGGACATTGTGCTACCAGAGTGCTATGTAGCCTTTGAGACAGCCACTAGTGGTCCAAATGAAATATGCTGGTCACCACCATTGCCTGAATAAAACTCATAACCCTAATGTTCAATAAGGACTATGAAGATTAATGAAATAATTTTGTAAGTCCTCTTAAAGCAATAGCTCTCAATTTTAGCTCCACAGTAATGTTTCCCAGGGAGCCTTTGGAAATACCAGTGTCTAGGCCAGGTACTAAAGTTTCTAAAGCACCCATACAGAATATAATTATATAATTTCCCCCTTCCCTTTCTTTCCTCCTACCCCTCCCAATCACACACAAAGCAAAATCCCTCTTAAATCCACGGCCTCTTTTTCTATAACTTTTATTGAGGGAGGGGGATGTACATATATCCACTCACATACCTTCTGATGGGTCTGATTAGTGTTGCTTGTCTGTACATGACTTCAGGGCTGGCCACTCGGTATTGGATACCAATTCGAAGCCTCATCCCTGGGAAAGACTGTTTCCACCACTCAACATACCCTATTTGACTGTAGTTCTTTGTCAAGAGGCGGGGCCCCATGAGGCATCTATTGGTGTTGTGATTGTTCAGGTTCTAATTAAACAGATATTGTTGTGGTATCATAGGCATAGCTTCCCTGCCATTTCTAGGAGGCACACTCTCAAAACGGACCTCTGGGTCCTCAGATTCCTGTAGTGTTTCTTCCCTCTTCTTCAATGCTCCCTGAACCTCAGGTGCAGGAGTTGTGTTGTGGACATATCAAGTGGGGCTGGACACCCCACCTCTTGCTACTCCCTGCATTTTGAACAACTTCTGGTTTTCTGCAATGTCATCATCTGCCACAAAGAGAAGCTTCTATGATGAGAACTCTACTTGTCTGTAGGTGGAATGCAGTTAGCATTTGTGCTGAGCTAGTAAGGCAGCAATTTTAGCTCCACAGTAACATCTTGAGGCTCTCCTCAAGCTCTGAGACTTCACTAACTCTGGATACTTTGCTGAACTTCCAGTACCAGTCATGGTTTTCCATGGTTGAGCAGAAGTTAAGTCCAATAATTAGGGAGTTCTTGGTTGCCACTGAGATATGAGAGCCACCGCTGCACCTTTGTCAACGAGTATACCGTACTGCCAGTTTCACTGGGCTTCAGTGTTTTCATCTGGAAAGAGTTGATGATGGTAACTTCTTAGAAATCTTCTAAGTCGTAAATAAGGAAATTAAATAAATGCATGCCTGGCACATAGAACCACTGCCCCTGCAAGAGCAATTTATTTCCTTCCTCTTGGTTAGTGAAAATAATGAATTCATATTTATCTTTCCTCCAGTGGTTTTGCCACTGACCTGTGTAACATTCCTCTACAATCTGCTGTTATTTGGTATCTGGGAGAAATATGCTCATGTATCTTTTATACTTTCTGCTCCTCCAGCTGCCACAGAAGTGTCCTTTTCATTTGATGTTGGAAACGGGCCAGTGGAGATTGTGGTCAGGTCACCTTCCCCTCTCAATGATGACCAGTGGCATCGGGTCACCGCAGAGAGGAATGTCAAGCAGGCCAGTCTCCAGGTGGATCGCCTGCCCCAGCAGATCCGAAAGGCCCCAACGGAAGGTCACACCCGCCTGGAACTCTACAGCCAGCTGTTTGTTGGTGAGTGGATTGAAAGATAATCACGATTTACCTCTCTGTTGGTTTTAGGAACCTTCACAAGGAAAAGACAAACACACAGCCTGTGGAGGAATAGAGGTTCTTCTCCCATTTCTTCTCTAAGACAGACAGAAGAATGAGATAGAAACTGGATGCCCAGATCTGGTTCCATTTCCAATTCCCCAACCATAATGTCCTCAGCTAAAAACATCAGAGAGTGGGCAGGGAAATTTTGCAGGGCTTCTCTAGTTTCTGAAACTTTAGGCTTATGATTTCAAAACTATATGATTTTATGTTTAATAGAACTTAAGAATGGGAGGGAAGGAAGGAAGGAAAGAGAAGGGAGATAGACGGATTCTATAAGCTCAACTTTGCTTAAAATGATAAAGAGAAGTAAAGCAAGAAAAGAAAAGAGAAAGAGCCAAGCTTAAATTTGCCTTAAAAGATAAACAGGAATTCATTCTTTTCTCTGCCCAGGGATCTAAGCAGAAAATAGTGACCCTCTTCATGAAAAAGAGGTTGATGTTTAATACAGCAGAGAGACAGACAGACAGAGAGAGAGAGAGAGAGAGAGAGAGAGAGAGAGAGAGAGAGAGAGNAGAGAGAGAGAGAGAGAGAGAGAGAGAGAGAGAGAGAGAGAGAGAAAGAGAGAAAGAGTGAGAGAGCAAGCTATGAGAAGACAGGACCCAGCCACCCAGCCTAATCCTCTTCAACAATATTTTTGCTTTTGAAAACTGAGAATTTCATACATGAATACAATGTGTTTCTGACCATTCCACCTTCATCTCCTCTCCTCCAATTTCTCTCATATTTTCCCATCTCTTTTTCTTTCCCAAACCCACATGTTCTCTTTTAAACATAGTGAGTCCACTTAGTGCTGCCATGGATGTAGGGCCATCTGCTCCAGCTGGGAGACCTATCTGGGGCCACATCCCTGGAGAAACTGACTCTCCTCACAGCAGCCAACAATTAGCAATAGCTTGTTATCTAGGGAAAGGACTTGCTGGCCGCTCCTTTATTCATGCTGGGAGTTCTGGCCGTATCCTGCACAGGTCTTGTGTCTATAGTCACAGCTACCATGAGTTCATGTGTCCAACTGCCCTGGCATAGTTGTAAAATGCTGTTTCACTGATGTCATCCACCACCTCTGACCCTCAGTCTTTCAGTCTTTCACAATATCTCTGAGCCAGGATTTCTGCTTTTAACTTACTCCAGGTTAACCTAAACTGACTTCAAGGTGATAACTCTTCACATGGCTAGTCGAATTTTTGATATTTTCGTTCTAATACCACTCATACTTTAGGAAATTAGCAATATTCCTTTAACTGTATAAAAAGAAACTGAGTTTGAAGAGCTTGTCAGATATGAACCAGATTAGACTCCCTCTCTGGATTCCGTTGTTCAATTCTTTCACCTGTGGAATCACGCATCAAAAAAACATAGGTATGACCCAGCTGCTGGTCAGTTCATCACACCTATCTCCCGGTAGAAGAAACTCATCAAGGGTTAGTTGATGTTAAGATAGGCCAGAGCCCATAAATGTCTTTCACGATTATGTTCTGATACATGAAAAATATTAGAAATCCATTTTTTAAAAAAGATAAAATTAGCTATGCACTCATTTCAGACTACAAGACGAGGGTGATCAAAAATGAGCATTGAAAGTGAGAGTGCTGTGTGAACAAGCCACATCAGTCAGAGACCACGGAAGAAGTGACGTCACTTCCCATATCTGCCTGGAGGACTCGGGGTCAACATCCCATGTGTATTGTCGCACTATCCATTATAGGCAAGTTACAAAACCAGCAGTATACATCAACAGGTGGACAAAGCTGTTGTGGAGTACATACATTTCAGAGATTTGTTAAGCGATAAGGAATAACAAAATTGTGTCAGTTACAAGAAATGGATACAATGCAGGTTGTCATATTAAGCAAAATACATCAGACACAGATAGACAAATACCATGTTTTCTGTCATTTACAGATCCTATATTTTGTAGAAAAATCATTTTTATAGATCTGACATGAAAACAAAATCTAAGTCTGTCTAGGGAAATGAGTAGAAATAGTAGGATGGAGCGTGAGAGAGGAAAGAGAAAGCAGAGTGAGCACAGTCAGGGTGCATGATAGACTTCACGGAACCTATGGCTATGCACAGTGAATATGCTCCAGTTTTTAAAAGCCCCCAAACTCACTGGGAACCCAGCACGTTCCAGTCTTTCCCTCGAGCAGTATGTCACAAATTATATATTTTCCTTTACATTAGCTAAATAAAGAATCCATTGAATCCCACTGAAGACAGTGAGCACATTCTTCTTCATCAGTATGTCATGCCCTGAGGACCTGATCCAAACTTCTTCCTAAATTTTCCCCATCCCCAGAATGCTGGGTATCATCTGCTTGAGTTTCATCATAACAGGACTCTACTTGTCTCAACTTTCTGAGCTTTCTCCTGGATGGAGAAGTCCAGAGCTAGCTTTATCCCTTTCTTCCCCCTCACTAGAGATGCCAAGAAGAACACTAGAGACCTGGTAAGGTTGTAAAATGAAAGCTAACTGTAATATTTACTGTGAAGATAAGCTGGTTCATTTGAAGATCACGATCTACGAATAATTTATTAGAAGGGAAGAGAGATGGAGGTGAAGTCTGCTTTTCCCACAGCACTGAAATGTAAGGGACAGGCAGAATAAAAACCTTGCTAGAATAAAGAAAAGATACAAAGAGTTCTCTAAGTAAAATGAGGAGACAGTAATGTCTCCAGAGGAGAAATTTTATGAAAAAGACAGTATCAAATAATATCAAGGACCATTAATTTTTTTAAAGCTAGATTCTTTGGATCCAGCAGTGATGAAACCATTGATGACCTTACAAAGAGGAGTTCCCTGAGAGTGCACTAATGTGATGGGTTAGTAATGCATTGTCACCTGGTAACAAAGGCTAAGTCCCCAGTTCTAGTTTTTAATTTCCCGTTATCTTAGAGGTGGGCACAAAGCCCATCTCCCAGCTGTGGGCTAGCTGAAGCAATCCAGGGACTATTTTCCTAGAGTAGAGGCCCAGCCCAGGGTCAGCAGAGAGGAGCACTGTCCCCAAAAGAAGGACACATTTAACAGCTCTGAAGTCAGCAAGTTCAGCCTTAGTCTCAGTTCAACTCTAATAAAAACTTAAATTTATTTTCACTTTACCAACTACCACTACCTCCCCTATCTTTTCTCATATGTCTAATGAAAGAGTTAGATAATTTACCCCCAAACCTCTTTCCACTTTAGATACTTATGGGCTTAGTAGGGGTTGACCACAGCCTGGGTGGCTAAATGACCAGCTTTTCCTACAAGGTTATGTGGTTACCAACATGGGCTTTGAATCTTACCTCTGCCTCTTGTCAACTTGGAGACCAATGATAAGCCATGTAATAGCTGTGTGTTTGATGGGATACAGTTTCTGTGACTTGGGATTCAATGAGGTTATTGCATATACATCTCTTAACATGAATGACACTTGGAATACAGTCAATACAGCTTTTATATGAAACATTTTTCTTCACACCCTTTACTTCTTACTCCATCCATTTTCCACACACACACACACACACACACACACACACACACACACACTAATTTAAAGGAACCTCTAACTAGCTCAGTCTCTTCCTTCTCAAAACACTGGCTAGAGATGGGATCTTCCCACAGTGCCTGCCCCAGCAGAACACACTCGTGCAGAACTGTCCCTCAAGCACTTCACCTACACCAGTGACAGTGGCCACAGAGCAGCAAGCTAGGGCCCAGGGCGTCCCTCAGAAGGTTGGCAAAGCACACAAAAATCTATCAGAAAAGTTCACCCCAGTGTCACTGAGTGCAGTTAAGACACAGGGCAGCATTGCCAGTATGCTCCCTCAGAGATCGCGGGAAGAAGCGCTTTGACACAACTTAAGTTTGAAAGAGTCAGAGGGGAGTTCTTAGCTTCCTACGCAGAGTGGATGCCTCAGAGGCCCAGCCTCCATCACTCCCTGTGCTAAGAAATCCAGGTTCACATCTTTTCTTTTTTTTTTTTTTAAGCAACTGGAGAAACAGAAACGACGTGCTTTCACTGTGCAGCTAAATATCATTGGAACCTGTCATTCCAAAAGAGCTAATGCGGGTCATTTGGAGGAGATAAGAATTCAGCCATGGTTCTGGTCTAGTAGGAAAGTGTGAGGGAAAAAAATACTAAAAGTTATGCAAGGAGGAAAAAGCAGTTGCTCGTATTTCTTCTGAATAGTGTAAGAAACCGTCCCCCATTTTTCAATGCAAACTAAGGAGCTAGCATATGATAATACCTCAGCATGACCTGGCAGGTATATTTACATCGTACGCATGGTAAATAGAGCCTCATCCACACTGAGTGTCCAGACCTCAGTCCTGCACCAAATTCATAAGACTAGAGCTTTCCGAGGGAGACAAAAAAAAAAAAATAGCAAACATCATACCCATGCTGTTATCGGAACCTGAAGGAGGCTGGGTCAGCCCAAGTGCGCCAGCACAGAGAAGAATCAGAGTCTGAAGTTCAAGCAGCCAGGACCCCAGTGGCAGCTGAGGAGAAAGGAGGTGTGTGTTGGGCTCCAGTATGAAATTCCACCTATGGCCCTATTGACAAGTATATAGCATAGAAGGGAGAGAAGTAGGCTTGTTAGGATCCGGGCTAGGAAATAGGTCATCCTTCAGTCCACAAGATACATGATCCACAGTAAGTGACTCTCAAGCACAAGTTTAGTGAGGAAGTCAGAGAGAGCTGAAGTCTGCTTTACCAAGCTTCGGGTAGACATCAACTGCTTCTGAAGTGGAAGGCTGGGTTCGTTTAACTAATAATCAATGTTTAGTCTCAAAGCACATAGCTCAGACTGCCTCAAAAGGACATTGAGCCTATAATTCGGGTTCTTAGAGAAGCTAACTAAGAAGGAGAACCCAAAGAAAATCATATAGGCTTCCTCCTGAATATTAACCTTCATCAGGCGATGAAAGGAGACAG